GATATTTACGAATACATCAACATTTGAAGATTTTCGCTACCTCCCTCCTGTGCTCATTGCTCCTTACCGTCACGACAACATTTAATTGAATATTATAAAGGAAAGAATTTCTTTGGGTACCAACGTAAACAAGCGTATAGTCCATTTTATACGCAAGAGTATTGATGGTCCGAAAGTGAGGATAACAATAATAAACCAACATTTTTGGCTAGAGCGAAAGTGAGGATAGCAAACTAGGCACTTGAAAATGGGATTAACACAAGTGTGCGAGTTGTAACCGTCAGAAAGGTCAATTAAAATAGAAACCATAAGATCGATCTACCAAAGACTGATTCTTTGGTACCGATCTAATCGATTCTAGAGTTAAATATAAGATCGATCAGTCAAGATCGATCGTTCTCTAAAGATCGCTCAATCCTAGATTGAATAAACACCTTTCGGCGAGATTGGATGGAATTGGATTTTGAAATCTGTGTTAGGGAATGCGCTTTTTGCAGGTAATCGGTGATAATTTTAATTATTATAGCAACAGTTTCACATTCTTCTTCTTCTTCTTCGCATTTCAAGCTTATTGCTTAGTGCATATTAGCTTATTGCGTGCTCTCAACTTAGTGCTCTAAATGCACTTCCACAGTTATTAATTGAGAGTTTTCGATACCAATACCAATGCATGAATTTGTATATTGTATGGCAAGCACAATGATACTCTATGCCCAGGGAAGTCGAGAAAATTTCCAACACGAAAGATTCCCTCGACCGGACCGGGAATCGAACTCGCCGCCTTCGACTTGGTAATACCGTGCCTTTACTGACTAGGCTATGAGGCCCCAAGTTTCACATTCGTGTATTTTTCAATAGTGATTTTTTGATAATTGATATATCTAAATTTTAACAGATTCTTAGAAAAATTTCCTATCGATGGTTGAGTAATGCTGAGTTATTAGATTGTTTGACACATATTAGGCTGGCGAGCTGTATGTTGCTTGAAACGAGGGTGACGCGCTTGTCATAGATGGCCCACAGCGACTCACGAAGAGCAACTGAATTCGATCAGTAGCGGTGCGGCTTCTTCCTCCTTCTTTCGTTGGGTACTGGAGAACAATGTTCAACGCTACGCGCCGAAAGCACTGCTGCTGTTGCTGCTGATGATGACCGACCGTAAACCACCGCACACGGTAATTGAATGAGCACCGTTCGGTGAGACCGGATGGAATTCGATTTTGAAATCTGTGTTAGAGAATGCGCTTTTTGCAGGAAACCAGTGATAATTTTGATTACCATTGTAACTGATGGACATTTGTGTAATTTTCAAAAGTGACCTTTTAAAAATTAATAAAATGAAAAATTGATTTTCCCCTTAATTTGTTTTCCGTCGATCTTGTTTTCCGTGCTGAGCACCAATGCTACCGACGCCAGGGAGGCAGCTCCTACACCTGTACCCTACCTATCGACCCATCAACTCATGAACCAGGGAACAATGGCTTTACTCCTCGTGATCAGAGATGTTATGCCTCAGAAAATCCCGGCAGCGTCGACTGGGATTGAACCCAGGCCTGCTGGGTTGAGTGGTTATCACGCTTACCACTACACCACCGGCGTCGCTAAATCTTGGCTTGTTTAGAATTTAAATCCACCCGCCATTGAGAGAGTTATAAGTAACCAAAACCTGACCATTTTTCGTAACGCGGTCGATTTTGATTTTTTGAAATTGCACCTCTAATATTTTTTCGAAAGACGCCTACGTCAAAACGTTTAAAAAATATGAAGAGGGTCATTTGTTGTTATTGACACTTTTTTGAGTTTTTACCCTTCTTACAAAGAAGGGTATAGATATCACTTGAAAAACCAACTATCAATCCGAGGCCCGAAGGGCCGAGTGTCATATACCATTCGACTCAGCTCGATGAAATCGGAACATGTCTGTGTGTGTGTGTGTGTGTGTATGTGTGTATGTGTATATGTGTGTGTATGTGTATATGTGTGTGTATGTAACGAAATGAATGCGCTCACGTTTCTCAGCAACCGCTCAACCGATTTGGACAAACTCGGCGCCAAATGATAGGTCTTGGGGTCCCATTGAACGCTATTGAACGGTTTTTGAATCGGTGAACCGGTTCCGGAGATATGGCCGGAATAAGATCCGGTGAATATGGACCTTCACGCTGGATTTAACGGAAAACGTATCAAAACCATCATATACCATTCGACTCAGCTCGACGAGATCGGAACATGTCTGTGTGTGTGTGTGTGTGTACGTGTATATGTGTGTATGTGTGTATGTGTGTATGTGTGTATGTGTGTATGTGTGTGTGTATGTAACGAAATGAATGCGCTCACGTTTCTCAGCAATCGCTCAACCGATTTGGACAAACTCGGCGCCAAATGATAGGTCTTAGGGTCCCATTGGACGCTATTGAACGGTTTTGGAATCGGTTAACCGGTTCCGGAGATATGGCCGGAATAAGATCCGGTGAAGATGGGCCTTCACGCTGGATTTAACGGACACGTATTAAAACCATCATGCGACACATCAAATTACTACAGAATTCAAAAATAAGATCAATGCAAGTCGTGTTAAGTGTTCCAGACCACATTGGACACACTTGGACATGTTCCGGGTACCCCGGGGAAGTTGCTTGAATATGAATTGAATTAAAACCCATTAAATCACATTAAAATACGATGATAAGGTGATTGGTAGCCTCACCAAATAGACTACACCCGGATATATTCCGGGTACCCCCAGGCAGTGGCGTAGCGTCACTGGATGACACGGGGGTGGGGGGCTTGGTCACTGATAATGACAATAAAATAAATAAACTTGAATAAGTAAGAAGGGTCTGATCACACCATAGGTGGATATATTCGGGTTTTTTTTACGTAGGACTACGTCTGTGGTATGGGGGTACACTTTGTGAAAACCGAAAATGGAACATGTAACGAAATTATGAAAGATTTTGAACGTTGATAACTCAGCTGTCCCTGGACCAATTTTATAATTTTATCATCAATCGATCAGAAATATTTCCACGCATCGATGGCAATGCTTCAGACTGTTGATTTTCGGCAAAAAACTATTAAAAAGTGTTAGAAGTCAAGCATTGACCAAAAGCGTCGAAATAACTAACAAATCCACCAATCACGTACATGCATATGCTGCTCCTTAACACAGTCATTAGAGAATCGTTTCTAGACGAAGCATATCGCTGTTTCCCCAACACTGTCATCGGAGAGACGTTAGTAGACGAAACTAGTTGAAGTGGCATTCGCCTCCGATCTTCGGGCGTGTGCGAATATGGAGGATGCAATTGCGTAACATTTTGTAAACACATCGCCATATTCAGAGCCACATGCCCCCAACGACCACACAAAATGCTCTCCAGAGTTGTAATTTTGTAACCAAACTTGGAAGTGGGGTGCAAGTGATTTTGATCGATTCTCTTCATCGACTTTCTGTTTCGTTAATAAGTCGACGGCAAACACATTCATTGATACGTTTGTTGTTCTGGATGATAGAAGAGCATAGCAGAAATAGTGCGAAATAGGTTAGTGAAGCCATGGTCATCAAAAGAGGAAATTGATGAAGAGAATTGACTTTCACCCCTCTACTTCTAAGCCCCTTAATTCAGTCGTCGTCCTAGCACGCTTTTGGTTCTTGGTTTACACTTGCTAGTTGTAATTCTGCTGTTCCACCATAGGGCTATCCCTTGTAGTTTTTACCGTTTATTTTTTTTCTGGAAAGGATTTTTTTTTTCATACATCGAAGAAAGGACATATGAAATTATTTTGACTGGTGAATTCCTAATGTATCTTTGTAGATCTTATCGACAAGCAACGATCCAACAAACTTAGTGATCAGCGGACCAGAATTACAACAAAAAAAAAACTAACTAATTTGTTTCGCCGATCACCCTACAATTATGGATCAGCTAAAAATACTTATGGATCCGTCAGTCTACCGTGTTAATTAAATGGAAGTGATCCGTAATTGTGGGGTCAGTGAACATGTACCGGTTTAAGCTTCTTGATGATTGATGACCTTCATGTCGCAGCCCATACTGCATTTAAGGGCAAGAGTGATATAATCTACAACGGTCATTCTGGATTCTATCAACGTTATCCTTAATCGTAGTTCGTATGAGATTCATTGCCTCCGGTTTGCTCTACTCACCTTCTTATGTAAAGGTGAGAGATGGCATGCATCAATTCAATAACGAAGTGGTGCAAATCCTATCAAAGTATAGTTAATACGTCATTTGTCTGCATATAAATCCCTTGTTATTCTATGCCATCGTTCAACTACCCATGTTTCCAATGCTGCAGCGTAATTTTCAGTTGCATATTGATATGTGTATTTCAATGCCGTTGCAATCGATCAGCAAAAAAAAATGAAAAAAAAAAATCAGAACAAAAGAGAGGCTCCCCATGTCCTGACGGGCTACCTCTTTCTCAGTTACTAACCAGCACTCTTGCAGCTACCATTCGCGTTGAAGGTTTTCCCGGACTCTTCTGGGGAAAACCCCGGCTACCTTCACCTGAAGGGTGATTTGTTTTGCTCCCACGCTAATGTGCAATTTCTCCTATTACCATACTGTCGTTGCAGCTTGGAAAGCCACGTCCCCGTCTGTTCATGACTTCGGTGGACTTTTCCGGTTGTTATGATTTGATAGTGATCTTTACGCTGGTAGTGGATAAAATTGTGTCACTGGTTGCAATAATCGTCTGTAGGGCAATCTTCGTCGAGGCTACCAGCGACGTCGTCGTCGTCGTCGACTATGAAGATAATATCACCGGTGCGTGTTACTTTCTTTTACTGACTCTCACCCGCACTCTCTTGCTCTAATCGGATTAACCACTCGTGTGGCCGTGTTTAGAAAAGCGTCACCATGGGGAAAATGCACAAAGGATTATCCCTTGTAGATTGTTGTATGGCAAGGAAGGAGAAAGTGCACTTTACTAATTGTTTTTCTTTTTTTCTTTTCTTCTGACGTTATTTGCAGATTCCACGAACGGGATGATGGCGCCGTCCCCCTCCAAGAGTTCCAAAACACAACATCCGTCGTTTATTATAACGGCGGACTCGGTGGATTCTAGTCCGGTTCCGTCCAGTCCGCCCAGTACAGGTGAGTTATTGATTTGATCAGAGATTCCGGTGAAAGCTACCGGTAAAATTTCCCCCGTCAATACATACCCCACGAGTCGCAAATCTCCATATCCGAAGAGGTGGGAGTCCACATTTCACTTTCAAACCGCGTACGATCAAACCATACGCCAACACCAGGGCGGCTTCATGAAGTTTCTGTGATTGTACACGACTGATGTTGGTTTTAATAGGTACGGGATGTAATTGAAGTTCATTTGTTCACTCTCACTGACCGCGAATTTGATCAAGAGGAAGATTTTTACCATGTACGTACGTACCTACACAGTCTTGCGTCGAGTGCTCGCCTCACATTGTAGGTACTTACTATAACAACACACTTGGAGCCGACTCTTTTATGCATATTACAGTGAATGCTTTGACGGATGGTCGGTCGGACCGCATGGTATGTGATGAAAAGTGAAAATCAAAACAAAATGATACTCTCTCGACCGTGAAATTTGAGTGTATATCTGTAAATAATAAATCTGATTCCAATGAATACAGAGAGGTACCGTTGTTTGCGGATATAGTTCTAGTCGGCATTCCTTTTTCTCACTTCCTAGTTGCTCGATCTTTGATAGTAAGAATACTGATAGAATACACTATTTTTATTAAGAAAAACCAGGTGTCAAGAAATCCAGAAACAAGAATACCGTCTAAAACTCCATCCGCTAACAACGGTACCTCTCCGTACTGTCCGGTTTTTGATGGAGTATCTTGTTGAGTGGGAGTGGACCCCGGGGGGTTTTTCTTGAGACCAATCGATGAAACCCGCTTCCGCACTTGCACTGGCTGTAATACAATCGATAGGCTGACAATTATCTCTTCCATTGTTGTACACATAGAAAGAACGAATCGGAGCATAGCTATTATTACATTAATAAACCAAGAAAGGTTGATGTATGTGACGGTCGTTCGGTGTGCCTTCTGGTTGGCAGCTTTTTGGCCGGCTGGCGTTGATGATACTTGGTTTTATTGTGCTACAAACGATAAAACCAAAGCGATGTCATGTAAATAAAGAAACTTGAAGAACGACATAACCTTAAGTGCCCTCGTTAGGCGGGTATGTAGGTCAAGTTTCTGTGTGGGTTATGGTTTTGTCCTTTCTTCTAGGAAAAGCTCTCATCGAATACTGTATTTGTAATACCGGGGCTTTTGGTGATTTTAATTTGAACTTGGAACCTTTATTTTTGATTTGCTCGATAAGAGGCACATACAATTTTCAAGCATTGATTGGCCAATTATGGGTTTTATAATTGATCAGAAGCTTTGAGCATAAGACTATTGCCTTTTTGACTATGAGGTAAATACATTGAAATTAAAAATATCATATAGGGGAAATGGATATAATGTCGGTCTAAATGCCCCTAATTTGGGCCCATACATAAATTCATCAATCGACTAAAATTTCAACAGCGACCAAAAATAGCCATTAGTACCGTCCCAATGAGGCGTTCATCTAGATAAATTTGATAAATATCAGATTTCTAGCTATGGGCCCAATCTTAGATCCATAGGCCTACATTAGAGCCATTTCCCCTACATCAGTATTTTTCGAAAATAATAATAACAACAAGTGAATGAAGGCAAAACATTCTTAATGCATGAAGGCAAAAAGCAAAAGAATCATGTTGTCGTATTACGCTGATTTTATAACTTGATAAATTTGAAACTTATAGTTTACTTCCAAATAAGGTATATTCTGTGTATCTACAGAAAGTAGTCATTTTCCTCTATTCTTCAAACAAAAGTACAATGAATATTGTTACTTAGGGGTATATTTCAGGGGGATGGGAGGTTGGCGAGTATCTATGTTTGTATGGCAGGGCTGGTAGCAAGTCACTTTTTAGTGACTTGGTCACTTTTTTCGAACCAGTCACCAAAAAGTCTTATTTTTTAAGGCCAATTTACCAAAATCACTTTTTCTTGTAATGAGTCACTTTCCATTTTTTTAGCGTACATTTAATTCAAGATTGATCATCCGTCTTGCAATCTGTAGGATCTGATAGTGCATTCGATGCCTTTATTTTGTTCTAATTTTCGAATAATTCGAAGGTGTAGTGCTTCTATGGAGCTTTTTGACGTTTAAATGTCTTTTTCTATCTACTTTTTCTACTTAATTGGTTAAATAAAATCCCCTGAGTTTTTTTCCAGAACTTCAACGGATAATTTTCATGTTAATAATAAGAAAGCTATTTTTAAATAACAGCAATTAACTCAAACATTTTTAGGACATGATAATCAGTTTTGAAGAAACAGCTTTACAATCGAATCCATTAAGTGGTGAAATTTAACATTTACTTAATTTAAGTAAGTCTAAAATCTCAAAATATACAATGCATGTACAAGTTCAAGATATTGCAAATTTTCAAAGTGCCAGAATTTAGGAAACAATATTAAATGATTTATTGCAAGTTTGTAATTAAATTTATAAAAGATTAGAGATCTTCAGTGAACTCCTATTAACTTCACAACAATTGTAGGAACTTTACAGATGTTCTGAAGAATACTGAATATTTCAGAGATAAACAAACTGCGTGAACATAAGGGTAGTTAACATTCTGCAAATATGGGGAACTTAGTGGAAGCTTTAAGAACCTCCAAGTGGTTCTAATAGCTTCCGAAAAACTGCATAAATTTTTAAAAAGTTCATATAATTTCAGAGAACTTCTTCGGTGTCAAGAGAATTTGAGGAAAGTTCTGGAAACTTTTAAGAAATTTTAAGTACCTCAGAAAAGCCAGAGCTAGAGATATTTGAGGAATTTTTTGAGCAGTTTAAAGATCTGAGTTTAGACAAATTCAGGATATTTCTATGATATACGAAAGCGTAACAAACGAAGAAATTTTTAGAAACAATTTTAATGTATTCCGGCACGACTGAAATCTACATACTTGTAAGAAAAAGTCTGGAGGTGGTGTTCTCATTGCCATCAATGCAGACTTTACTTCCGAAGAAATACAAACTTATAAGAACACACAATTTAAACATGTAATGGTCAAAGCACTCATTGCTGGTAAAACACAAATTTTTAAATCTGTGTATTTCCCACCTGAATATGCGAACATTCTTTTGAATTATTTTTCCAAATTGTCGAAACTGTTATGTCAAATATGGAACCAGAAGTAAAACTGCATTTTTATGGCAACTTCAACCAACAGACTTTATCACAGACATTGAAAACGAATAATTTTTACTTTCAATCGTAGGTGAAGACGAAACATTACATTTTCTCTTTGACAAAATCTCATATTTAGGTCTACATCAAATTAACCACGTGAAAAATCATCAAAAAGCATATTTAGATCTTTTATTTACAAACTATACTCAAGACTTCTGTGTGTATGCATCATTATCACCTTCATGGAAAAATGAAGTGTTTCACTCAGCAATTGAATGTTCAATCTTCATACTCCCAGCGACTGGGAGTACGAGGAAGTTCCGAAATAGCATAAAGCAAATTACGAAGAAGCCAAACGTAGACTTTGTCCAATAAATTGGAAAAATATAATAAATATTGAAGGAAATTTTGACAATGAAGTTGGCAGATTTCATTCAATTATTCGTAACCTAATTTCAGAAACCGTACCAATTAAAATAAAAAGGCGTACACAAAACAACAAACTGTCAGTGTGGTTCAATCCACAACTAAAACATTTGAAGAACAAAAAGCAGAAAGCACTCAAATTATACAAAATGGAAAGCACTAGCACAAATTTACATCATAACATATGCAACCAACTCAACACGGGTACACGACGTTAGGTAGACGGTCGTTAGGCATACGGACGTTAGGCATAAAGTACGATAGGCATAATGGACGTTGGGCATAAAGGAAGAATTCACCATTCTTTATTTCATGAGCTGTTCTTTGAGGAAAACCTGACAATTGAAATATGTGTGTAAGAATATATTTCAACAAATGTGTGATTTTTTTTTATTTCTAGATGCGATTGATTTCAAGATATAGTTCAAAACTATGCTGAGTTTTCATTACCAGATTACTTAACCGCTATCGCTACTAATCATGGATCAAAGTAAATATGTAGCTATGTTACTTATGATATGATAAATAATGAATCCATACTGAGTTTATTCAATAAACTATGTTTTTTTAACTTGGATTATTTTTTTACTCATCGCTTTGCCTAATTTAAGCATTGTTTAGCATGCTCGAAACAGGTTTCTAGAGTTGCACAGCAGCAAGGTATTTTATGCTTAACGTCTATTATTTTCTTAAAATATATTATGCCTAACGTCTATTATGCCTGACGTCCGTATGCCTAACGTTCGTATGCCTAACTTATTTATGCCTAATGGGGTACACTCACTCAACACAGCCATTAACACTGCACATGAAGAATATAATCGTTAAGTCGAAAATGAAGTCAAATCACGTCCTAAAAACTTTTTCAATTATGTAAAAACGAAATTGAAAAGTAATAATTTTCTGTCACGAATGCATTTTGATGGAAATGTAGGTGAAAATCCTTCTGAAATCTTCAATCTCTTTGCAAATTTCTTTCAGGAAGTATACACCACATTTTCTGAAAAAGACCGCGACTTATTTGCATTTATTCCCGAAGTTTCTAACAACATATCTGTCAATCAAATATGTCAACATGAAGTCCTCAATGCACTAACAAATTTGGACGCATTTAAAGGACCAGGACCTGACGGAATTGTACCTGTATTCTTGAAGAATCTTTCAGAACAACTCACCCTTCCTTTAGAAAGCTTTCTCAATATGTCTCTGAAAAATGGGAAATTCCCTGAAATTTGGAAATCGTCTCATTAGGTGCCTATTTTCAAATCAGGCAAGAAATATTACATTCGTAATTATCGTACACCCAACCGGTGGATGTAAGATTCGCTTACAATTATGTGGGATTCATCATAAGAGGATGTAAGTGGAGACCGCATGAACCGAGGATGCAATATACCTAGCTGCGGTCCAATGCAAGAGAATTGGAGACCGAAAA